TTTCGTCCTTGGATTTTTAGTTTGAAGGACATTTTGAATTTTGCCCAGGTGGCGGCCGAAACCTACATCATTTTATTTCTAATTTCTGTCACAATGGAAGGAATAGCTACCAAAATGGCATGGTCACAAAGAAGAACATAGTTCGGGAGGAAAAGAGTTTTATTGTCCTGAAGAAGTTCTTCCTATAATAAGTGTTATGTATTCTTTTTTTTCATGACAGGTAGAGCTGAGTGACGACCTCCCAGACGAAGAGGTCATGGCTGTGTGTACAGATGTGATGCGGGCATTTATCAAAGACATTCCAATTCCCGATCCCGTGGCGATACACAGGTAGAAATATACTTTTTCGTTTGAACTGTGAGTGTGCTATTTGTACGGCTAAGGTTTTCACAATAGTCTAATTCATGTTCAGGAATTGTTAGATTTTGCTTGAGAAACTTCCATTTATAACTGCTTTCCTGCGAGCTTCAAGTGTATGCGTGGGAATTTAACTTGAGGTAGTCCTGCGGCTGACGATGAATAATGATAGTGAGGCATCGTGGTGAAACCAGGCGCTCGTCAAAATAATGAAATAGAAGAAAACCGCTTTTCTGCCCATTTGGCAATTTTTATCGTTTTTTTTTTTTTGTTGGGAGGGTTCAACACCTTTTATGTGCGCACTTTACTGAAAAATGATGCACAAAAATTGTAAATATATGTATGCAGTTTCCAAGGACTCTCAGGCTTTGGAAGAGTAGATAAAAAGTATGTGGTATACTTTTTAAACTCCAATATTAGAACAGATTTTCTATATCAAATAAAAATTGCCTAGTGTAAAAGGTTATGCACCACTTCAAAATGTCGTTGATGAGCAGCTAGAAGATCATGAAAGATTTCAAACTTTTGTCAAGCAAACCAGAGCCGCCAAGGCAAGGGCCACAACTCTGTAATACACAACCAATGGACTCAAGTTTTGTCTAAGCAGCCTTCACTCCTGACTTAGCTCCCTGTGACTTCTGGTTATTTTGTATTCTAAAAAAAAATTAAAAAATAATGCGCTTGCTCGACAAAAGTTTGAAAACTTTCATGATCTAGCTAGATCTGACAACAAATAATATTTAGAACAGAGCAGCGAAGCGCACAGAACGCTGACTACCGCTATCCCTTCCAGAAGTGGCTGTGAGGGCTGGAATTCCACCTGTCAAATCGAGAAGAATATAGCGAGCGATTGCAAAAAACAAAAACAAAAAACAAAACAAAAACAAATGTGTCCACAGTATTAAACGTTTTTGAGACACTTCACAACTTCAATTATTTTTTTATCCACGCTCGCAGTTTCTAGAAAGGTAAATGAGAAAGATCTTGACAACATAAAACAGAAATAAACTTTTTTCCCCCTTCTTTTTATATAATCTTTCTTACTTTCTTATTAAAACTTGGCTCTCTAACTGCATCTGTAGTGATCCAATGCTTAGGCTCTTCGCTGTTTCTTGACAAAAACTAGAGTTGATTCCCGAGAATAAAGTAATGTTATTGAGTATCACCGTCTGTACGGGTGGGAGGGATCCTCTGCCCGCCCGGGTTAGCCCTGACGAGCAGGTGTGAAACAACCTGCTTCGTATATTATATTAATTTGTACCAGTTGGGGCATAATGCATTTTAATATATTATATTCTTTATTATATCAAACCTACTTGAGTCTGTGTTCTTGTTCATAATGACCTAATTATGTTCATCCTCAGAACGAACTGGTTCGACAATCCCTACACCAGAGGCACCTACTCATACGCCAGCACTCAATTCAGGAATCAAGATAAGAAACACTTTGGTCGCCCAGTACCCTCTTCTAAAGTAATTGTCGTCGATTCCTAACTAGTATCTTTGTAACGAGTACCGACTACTTTATTCTTGCCTAGCGTTAATGCAATGTGAAATTCAAATACTGTACTTATGCTGTTCTCGTCAATGGCACGGGTGTTATCTAGAAGTTGGCCTCTTACAATGTAGTTTTCGTGTTCTTTCCACCGCTTGTTTCTGTTCACTCTGTCGAACGCTTTCTCCTGCTCAGCAAATACTATGTTTGGTTCCCTGTTGTGTTCTATTGCCCTATCGCACATTTGTCATAGGGCAAATATTGCGTCGGTGCATCCTCTTCCCTTTCGAAATCCCATTTGGGCTTCACTCAGAAATGGTTCAACTTTGTGTCTTGTTCGCCATTCCAATATCTTGGCGAACATCTGGGCCACATTGCTTGGCAGTGAAGTGCCTCTATACATTCCACAGTCTCTCATACTGCCTTTCTTCTTCCAGATTGGTACTATGATCGTTTTTTGCCAAAGATTTTGGTTTCCGTGATGAGCTCGTCTATTCCTGCGCTTCTCTTTTTGGGCTGTTTTTAACTGCTTGTCTGACCTCTGATGGTAAGATGGTTGGTTCTTCTTCCTCTGGGTGACTTGGTTGGAATTCTTTGTTTGTTTGCTTTGAGTGGTGTTCTAAAGTTCAGAGAAATATTCCCTCCTTCAGAACTCCTTCTAGATTTGATTTTGGAGCTGTCCGTAATGGAGTTTCCTGTTTTGTCATTGGTTATATCTGTTGGGTCGTACGGTTCTTCCCTGAGCGTCATTGATTTTACACATCTGTAAAAGTCATGGCCATGATTCATAGTTTGATGCTCTGACAACTCTTTTGCAATTCCCTCTTGCTAGTCTGTATTGCGTGTAGTCGTTTTCGTCCTTGGATTTTTATCCATTTCTGAAAAAGTTTCTTCTTTTCTTTGATGACCTCTTTGACGCCGTCAATCCACCATGGCGTTCCTTTAATGGATCCTCTCTCAATTCTCTTCTTTCCACATACATTTATCAGTGTTTTTGATAACATGTTTTTAAAGAGGGCCATGTTTCTTCAACATTAATTGTACTGGTGTCATGGTTTTCTAATCTCTTTGTGATCTCGTCCTCAATTTTCTGCACATTGCCCTCTTCATTGAGTTTTCGAAAATTAATTTTCTATGAATGTTTCTTCTTCTGATTTCGAGAGGGTTTTTTTCCTCTTTATTCGTATTTATCACTGTTCAGTGATCTGTATCAAAGGTGATGTTTGGGATTGATTTTGCATCAGTTGCTTTTGTTCTATGGGCTAAGTATGAAGTCAATATGTGAAGAAATTTCCAGATTGTTCCATTTGTACCACGACTGAGTTTGACTTGCCCTATACTTTAAAAACGTATTGGTGATGAATAATTTACACTCTGCGCGGAGAACTAAAAGTTGTTCCCCATTATAGTTACAATCTGAACTGGTGTCACCGTATGGTCAAAGGGAGTTCTCCCATAGTGTTCTGCTTGGGCCTACGTATCCATTGAAGACTCACATTATGATTAGTTCCTCCTCATTCCTGTACGCTGTCTATAGTGTCCGCCAACTTCTGAAAAAAAATCGTCTTTATCTTCCCTTGAGTATGTGTCGTTACAAGAGGCGTCAACCTGAAAGATGGTTTAACTTTTTTAGCGAATTTCTCTATTCTGATTTTCAAGATCCTTTCTGATATTAATTCTTTTTCTATAACTCTTTCTGCCCCGCCAGGTTGTATTATGAATCCCACACCATGATTGTCTCTCTCTCTCTGTCTCTCTCTCTCTCTTTCTCTCTCTCTCTCTCTCTCTCTCTCTCTCTCTCTCTCTCTCTCTCTCTCTATCTATCTCTCTCTCTCTCGTATATCTACTCCACTCCATATTAGTACGTAATGTTCATGTATTTTCTTGGTCCCGCTTCCTTTTAAACGGCAATCTAACAGTCCAAGTATTGGTATTCTCCACCTTTTCATAAAAGTAATAAGTTCTAGTTCTTTGTCTTTCAGGCCACAGATGTTTAGAGTGCAAATACTTTCTCGTAATCCTTTAACGTTTCCAAGTCGTTTTCTGTCTATGTCAGTCCGTTTCTTTCTCCTGTTAGCTTCTGTAGCAATAAATAATCCACTGCCGACTTGCTAGACATGTCACAGTTTCACCAGAGCCTCGTTAGCCTGCAACTTTTCGGGATGACCAAGGGTTTTCCTTCACGGCTAGCGTGAAGCCTCAGTGGCATAAAGCCACACCGTACTTCGTTGAACCCAGCAATCCCCTACTTTGTCCAGTTTCCACCCCCGGGACGTGGACCTGGGATGGGGCTTTGGGAGGCAATTTGTAGGTTAGTTGTGATAAAATAACCCCTGCGCTCTATTGTAAGGTTGTTTGTGATTTTAACTTGTTCTATTTTGTAAAGTTGTTGGTATGTCTTATACTGATATCCATAGACTCAACTGTAAACTTGTTGGGTTTTTTTTTTTATCTTATTGCCCTGAGCTCTACTGAAAAACGTGTATCTGAATCTTCAAACCCTGACCTCTGCCGCAAATTTGTTTGTGAACCTTATAACAGCGTCCTCTTTTTCTTTTCCTCATGCAGGATCCACAAGTGCTCTTCGCTGGTGAGGCGTACAGCAAAGAGTTTCAGTCCACTTTCCATGGTGCACTGATCTCAGGGGACAATACTGCCGACTTTCTTCTCTCTCAATATGGACTTAAACCTCACAGAAAATTGATAGACCTGGTTTCACCGTAATTCTAAGAATGTTTCGGCACAATCATTTTGAGTCAGTCCGGAGCTGGGTCTGTGTCTTGAGTAGACCAATTTCAGACTTTAGGTACGGCGTAATTTGATAATAAATGGGTACAATATCACACCATTGTCTTTGTTTGAGAACAACGAATATCTTGCAGATTTTGTTAGTACTCTAATGTGATTAAAGTTCATTATGATTATGCAGAAGTGTCTTATATCTAAGCAGAGTTATTTTTCTCAGAGGAAAGAGGATTAGCATGATCTAGTGTTATGATTATGGCTTGAGTCAGATTTGGGCCAGAATCCAATTATCCCGCCATGGCTTTCCTTGTACAATAGTCACAGAACTGTAAATACGTACACGCATACACTACTACATGTATCTATTTCTTTAAGATGTCACTGCCAGAATCGTGAAGGGTATTTTACAATTTGCTCATAACTATATCATCAAGAGGAACCTGGAGAACAGTCACAGAAGATAAAATACTGAAAAGTAAGAAAACATGGCATAATATCAAGAGGCTAGCCTAGGATAAGGAAAGGTGGACATTGTTTGTTCGTGGCCTTTACCCTGATCCGGGTTGAGAAAGGCAGTTATGATGATCAAAACTATGGTAATTAAATGACAGAGGACACTGCCATGTTGAAAAGGGTGTTAAACTTGTACATTTATTAAGTTTTTACCCTCAGTGTCGTAGAACTGTAACGATGTGAATTGTTTCACTGGTATGCTTTTCTAAAATATTATTTGCTTCATCTCTTTGCCTGTCATTGTCCAAACAAGAGAGAGACTGTAAAAGTAATTTTGCGTCCTACTTCTTTACCTCGCTACCTTAGAATAACAGAGTTCTATCTGACACCTTTGGTCGTTTTGAGTCACTAAGATAATGATGTTAGAAACCAATAAATGTTCTATAAGCTCTATCAAAATCGTAAGATTGTTCGGAGTGTTTGTCAAGATATTCAAAGAACCTGCATTCGAAAAAGCTTTGCGTGTTGTGAAACACAAAGGTCTTTTGTTATGTCAGATTTCTAAAGACTATAGGTACTGAGCAGATAGAACTTTGTAATTTCAAAGGTAGCAACCTGTCAATGTCCAAGCAAAAGAAAACCGGTTACTGATGGGGTAAGTATAAAATGTTGCTAATTGTGCTGCCTGGCAGTTTGGAGGAGTAAACGCCTTTTAACTCACTACTGATTTTTCCAATTTGTTGTAATATTGAAATTTTAAAGGTTTTCCACATAATAGCTCTTTAGATGAAAGTAAGTTATGGAAAATATGCAGGTGTAAAATATCCCCCAAGATGCGTTGCCATGGCAACGGCCGCCATCTTGGATTTTTGTTTTTATAATTTATAATCCTAAAATCTCGGAAAGTACTTTGGATAATCTAAATTTTTTCTTTTTTTCTGTCAAAAGGTTGGCCTTTTCTTACACTAGATCTAGTAGGGTTTGAGTTTCAGACATCTTGTTCCACAACTTTTTTGAGATTTTAGGATTATAAGAGGCTGAACTACTTGAACTTTGAGACACTGAGAAAAAAGGCTTTAAAATTAATGTCCCAATAGCACACATGACATGCTATTTCATAATCACTGATTCATAATAAAAATGCATTTCGCCCCACTTTTAGACCAAACTTATGTTCTAAATGAGCTTTTGGCTTTTATTTACAGGTTTAACTAACATTACAGATTGGTACTATGAT